TCACTCTATTGAGCTCATCGAGTCTCGACCATCATGCACGTCCGGGTAGAAAGGATTTGGGTTCGCCACCCCCAAAAACCAATCATCAGCCTTAAGTGCTCGGGACATGGCAGAAGGTTCCACACAAACCCGACAATCGTGGCAGCCCAGGAAAGCATAGCTGTGAACTCTGGATCAAACTCGTTATGCTAGCACATCCGAAGACAGCAGCACAGACGAGCCATCATCTCTAGAGGACTCCAGCTCACCTTGTGCGGCGATAAACATGATTTCATCAGCCGGGGGACCGAATGAGAACGCGGGCACGCGGGCTGGCCGGTGAAGTCCCTCGGGACCACATGGGTTGAAACGTGAAAGACGGGGTGTGGACTGAGGAATTTTCAGTAGAGCTTTCTAGTGTTTAACACTCCTTCTGGCAAAGCAACGGGTAATCGTTGATCACCCACGCATGCAGCGCCCAACACTGCGGATGGGGATGCCAGATCGTGCCGCGAGCTTGAGAGAGGAGATCTGCTCTGACTGGAATGGTCCACAAGGGCTGTCTGTGACAGCTTAGTGAGCTCCGGGAACCAAGTCTGACTCTCCCATCACGGGGCTATGAGTAGCACAGAGTGGCGTGTGTTATATTACCACTATTAGCTGTGGTAATAGTGAGACCGGAGGGAATGCATAAAGCAGGCGGCTGGGCCAGTCCTGGGCTAGCGCGTTCTCGCTCTTTGAGAAAAATATTGGGCAGTGAGCGTTCTCTTCCGATGTGACGAGATCTACCTCTGCTCTGCCGAATATTCGCCACAGCTTCTGGACTGTTTGAGCGTGCAGGGACCATTCCCCTGGGGGAATGAGGTTCCTGGACAGTCTGTCTGGGCCGTCGTTCAGATGGCCCGGCACATGCGTCGCTCTTAGCGAGAGCAGGTCACTCTGGGACCAAACTAGAATGCGTTCTGTCAGCGGGAAGAGATTCCTGGATCTGACTCCCCCCTGACGGTTTAGGTAGGTGTTGTCCGAGCGGATCAATATGTGGTGACCCTGAATGCGCGGGAGGAAACGCGCGAGCGTGTTCACGTTCACAACCGCTAACATCTCCAGACAGTTTATGTGGAGGGAGCTCTCTTGAGCTGACCAGGGGCCAAAGGCCGGTGAGCCCTCGCAGACCGCGCCCCAACCCGTGTTGGACGAGTCTGTCGAAGATGACATTTCGGCTGGAAAATGTCCCCATGGTAACGCCCCGCTGAAACCATTCTGCCACTGTCCATGGCTGCAGAGCTGAGATACAGGTCTGTGTTACTTTGATCAGCTGGCGGCCTATGGTCCACGCACGGTGAGACACACGGCTCTTTAACCAGAGCTGAAGCGGGCACATGCGCAGTAAACCCAGTTGGAGCACTGCGGAGGCTGAGGCCATGTAACCCAGCGAAGTCACCCAGAAAAGTCTTCAGAGGCGTGAGGGTGTTCATCTGAAAAGATGCGGTGAGTCGCTGAACACGGCGCGCGCGCTGTGCAGATAATCGAGCCATCATAGCCACTAAATCTAGATCTATTCCCAGGAAGGAAATCGTCTGACTGGGCTGTAGTGAGCTCTTTTTTCCAGTTGACAGAGAGGCCCAAAGTGTTCAGATGGTCAAGGAGAACTGTCCGATGAGACAGAAGCTCCGTCTGTGATTGTGCCAAAATCAGCCAGTCGTCCAGATAGTTCAAATTCACAGCCCCTGACTCCGCAGGGGGGCGAGCACCGCATCCATGCACTTCGTGAATGTACGGGGTGCTAAGGATAGGCCGAACGGAAGGACGGTATATTGATAAACATGGCCGTCGAAGGCGAAACGTAAGAATGGCCTGTGACGGGATTTATCTGGATCTGAAAATAGGCGTCTTTCAGATCTAGAGAGATGAACCAGTCCCCCTGGCGCACGTGCGCGAGCAGTTTCTTGACTGTAACCATTTTGAACGGTCTCCTCATGAGCGCTTTGTTCAAAAATCTGAGATCTAAGATCGATCTTAGGCCACCGTCTTTCTTGTGAACAAGGAAATAATGGCCGTAAACCAAGACTCGCTCATAGAAGGCGGAAGTTGCGGAACTCTCTGCATATAGCCCTTTTGCACAAAAGCTTTGCTATCTCTGAATGAAGCAGGCTGGCTGCTTCTGTATTCACAGTAGTTTTGAGCCGTGCATGGAAGCGTGGAGGGCGACGACGGAACTGTAACAGATAGCTTAGCTTTATTGTGTTTAACACCCACGGGGAGATCCCCGGAATAGCTTCCCACGCTTTGAAGCATAACGCTAGCGGGTGAATGGCTACATCGCCCTGATTGATGCACATAGCGGGCTGAACTGAGTGTGTGAGCGCGCTTAGAGTGCTTGTGGCAACGGGACTTACACTCAGAGAGGAGTTTATGGGCCGTGTAACAGAGCGGGCAGAGGGGGGACGCGCACACAGGCTTGTGGGCGCGCTTATGCACTCTGACACTCGAGCGGGCTGTGTCTGCTTTATGGGAGTGGGCTCTGAGAGAGACATGGGACATGTGGTGATTTTGTGTATGGGTGAACACAGGATTGTGGGCACATTTTTTACACAAGAAGAAATTGTACACATTTTTTATGCTCTTTTTGAGATTTCTCTGGGTCGCCGTGAAAACAGCGTTTTGGTGCATGCAAGCGGGAAGAGAGACCGGCTTGTTTATAGCGGTGTACACTGCTGCAGTAGCCAGATGAGCGGGGACAGACTGAGGGCGAAGCTTTGACGGCGGCCCGGCTGTGGCGGGAGATAGCCGTCGTTTTCTCAGCTGTGCTAGGTGCTTCAGCACGACTTTAAGGTCGTGGCTTACGGGGGGGGGGGGGTGGAGGCCTGTGGCGGCTGTCAGAGTGAGATCTAGTGGGTGCTGGCGGCACTGCGAAGTCTGACCGTGCTAAGCTGGGTGCTGAGGTTGAGGTGGGGCTCGTGCAGGCGGCTGGTCACGTGAACGGCCTGCAGAAGAGCTAGCGCGGCGAGGCAGGAAAAGGTTCATGGCCTGGGAAGCTTTCTGAACTTCGGAAAACCGAAGAGGCCGGTCGGAGAAATCGCGCATTGAGGAAAACAGCGCGTTTAGAATCTCCCATGTCGGCTAATGTGAGCCACAGATGTCTCTCAGACACACATAGGGCGACCATGAATCTCCCCAGGGCTTGAGCAGCAGATTAATCTCCCCAGGGCTTGAGCAGCAGATTTGGTGGCGCGAAGGGCGAGATCCATCACGCTCCTTAAATCCGTGACAGAAGGGGGGGGGGTTCCGCTCTCGTCCAACTCACAAAGTATATCTCCTTGCAGGATCTGGAGGACAGACGTGGAGTGAAGAGCAGAAGCGGCTTGGCCGGCGGCGGAATAGGCGCGGGCTTGAAAGTTAGAAGTCGCTCTGCAGGCTTTAGAGGGAAGCACAGGGTTAGACCGCCATCTCGCGGAGGGCGGGCAGAGGTCTGTGGCGACCAGGTCCTCAACAGGGGGAATAGCCGAATAGCCCTTCTTGGCGCTCGGTGGAAACATCAGAGCGGGACATTCCAAGATTTCGTGAGCTCAGCGTGAAGTTCAGGCAGGAAGGGAGCAGCCCGGTTAGCAGCGGGTGGAGAGTGTCGGCTTAAAAAGCTGCCGTCCATACGGTTCGGGGCCTACTCAGGGGGCGGAGACCACTCGAGCCCGATGCGGTCGATGGCCTGTGAGAGGAGGCGCATGAGTTCCTCCTCGATTCCAACGCGGGTCCTGGTGAATTCTCTGGCCGAAGAAGAGGCATGAGATCCAGACCACTCCTCACTGTCCGAGGCGAGAAGCGAACATGTCTCCTTAATATCCACTGCATCGTTGGAGGCAACAGAGCGGCCACTCGGCAGCAACTGTACGTCCGGTGGGGGCAGCGAGGGAGAGCGGGAGGCGAGAGGTGGCTCCGGCGTTTCTTCTTCCGCGGCGAAGTGAGAGGCGGCGCGGACGCAGATTTGGCGGCCTGAAGTCGAGCTCGCAGGGTAGACCACGGCAGGTCCTCGCAGAGGTCGCATCTGCCGTAGGCAAGGGCAAGCTCTGCGTGCTCTAATCTGAGGCAGAGATCTCAGATGACGTGGCGATCTCCGTCCTCGAGAGGAATGCGGCAAGAACCGCAGGAAGTGCGAGGCATCTTGAAAAAGACGCTCTCTGCTCTTTTAGATACAAAAGATATAATAGAAAAGGATACTGTCGTCAGATGGCAATAGCTTGCAGGACGGCTGAAGGTGGCGAAGACAGCCAGCTTCCTCAGTCTCCAAGACGCTCGCTAGAGATGCCTTCTCGACGGCTTCTTCTCGTAGTCAGCAGATGCGTGTAGCCTTGCTGAAGAGATGAAAATCAGTGAAACAGCGGGAGACTCGGCTATTTATACACTCGGGCCACGCCCGTTTTGGCGGGCTTTGACGCAATGAGAGCGTGTCAGCTTCTCATTGGCCGCGAGTTCAGCCGAGTCCTCTCATAGGCTGTAGCAGTTCTCTCTGAGCGAACCAATGAGCTGCTAGCTAGCCCGGTCATGGTCTGCTGCAGATGAATTGCGTTGACAATGGATACAAATTAAAGGATAATTTTTTGGCTTCAACTTCTCAGAAAAGATTAATCTTTCCCGTAGCATAAGCTAGCTTACGCAATACGAGAGAACCTCTCGTAAGAGAACTTATCTTTCTTTAATAATTTGACTCTGAGTGTCTCTTATGCAGTGATGATGTTTGACAGGATTTATGCCACAACAGACCTCACTCAAGTTGAATGATAACTAATAAAACTGTACAACAAATTCTGAACTTAATGATTGCAGAAACAATTTGATGAAAAATTAAGAACTGCACTGCAAAAAGAAAAAACATTCTTATCCAACAACATTTTAAAATCATACATCTTATAACACAAGGAGATACAATTTTTATTATAAATGTTATGTAAAAGGAGAACATTGAAGAACTAATAATGGCATTTTCAGAGGTTATTTTTGTGATCTGTAACCATTATGTTTTTCTGCAGAACAGATGGGGCTTCATCTAAGGTGTGGGTGTTCTGTGCCAAAGTCACCAACTTGAGAAGCAAAGAGTGAGTTTACCATGGCTGTCCCATCCAGGGAACCTACAAAAAGTCAATAGCACTGAAATATGGGGAACACCACAAATATGGGGAAACATTTTACTGATGTAAATGAACCAGCCAAACAAGGCAAGTTGCAATACAAGCTGTTATACAAACCTTAATTTTCATATGAAACAAAACAGAATTTTGCTATTTGAATATCCAGGCCAGGATTTGTTATAAATTCACAGACGAAACCATAAACATTTGTTGAGATTAGCGTGGGTGTGGATTGATAGTTTGGGAGGTAAGTGGAAGATTTTCTGAAAACAAAGAATCCTTGACCCAGAACCCTTTCACCCACTCGTTTAGACCGGTCACACTCATATTCACACACACACACACACACACACGCACGCACGCACGCACGCACGCACGCACGCACACACACACACACACACACACACTAATTTAAAGGAATTTCACAAAAATACATGCAATGCCTTTCCCCCTCTCTCCTCCGGCACACCCTTATGTGTCCCAAAGACTACGACACCCAAAGAAGTGTCTTAGCACATTCTTTTTTTTAAAACATGTGGAATCTTCCGATAATGAAAAAACTAGGGCCTCGTTTGAAAAGCAGACTATAAACTTTTGACTGAACGATATTTGTTGTATACTGTGACTCTAAAGCTGATCAAAATGAAGTTATTTTCACATCTTTAACATTTTTTGGTTTGATGCTGCAAAGAAATTCTATGTTGTTAATTTGGTTGTTGATGTTGCTAATGTTCTCACATATTCTTTCTCTCTCTGTCTTCTGTGATGGGTAGGTTTAGGGCTAGGGGATAGAAAATACAGCCTGTACAGTTTAAAAATTATTATTTCAATGTAATGTCTCCATAAAAGATGAAAACCCCAAATTTGTGTGTGCGCATGTCTTCTTAACACATTAACAAACATACAGACATCTTCTGTCTTAAAGAGGGGATGCACATGACATGAAGCCTTAGGAGAAATCTCTTATCAGACAGCAGCGAAACTCAGATGAATGGACTGTTCGTTTCTGAGTAGTATTAACCAGTGATTTTGACCTTTTTGAAATATCCAATTTACAGTAGGTCCTATATGCTAATAAAGCAGTATTAGTATCAATATTTGATCTATCTGTACCATGGTGAAAATCTGTGAAATAGTGTTCTAAGACTAAACTCTGTAAAGCATGTGAAATTGAGTTGAAGACGCATTGACGTCACCTGACATCACAAGAATTTTGAATATTGCCCCTGGTACTTGACAAACTGCCAAACCAAGCAATTTAAAATCAAGCCTTTCTGTTGCGAGTGCAGAGATAAAATAGGGTTTGTTGCCTTTTGTACAGTTTGAACTTGCTAATATTTTATTTAATGGACTTGAATTATTTTCTACACATACTGTATTTTGTCATAAAATGTATCCGAAATTGCTTGTGTTCCTGTAAATGCTTAATGTCTGTAAAAAATAAATGAACAATTTAATAAAAAAAAAATATATATATATATATATATATATATATGCATATATATTTAATCATGTCCTAATGTTTAAAAAATGGGTAAAAATCTTGATAGCATAAAAATGACTTGTCACATGACTGGTCATAAAGGGAAGTAACATTTGTCAAATTATTCTAAACCAACAATCCTGATATGTGCTTAGAACATGTGCTTGGCTCAGTTGTAGTTCTCTATTCAGTGTATGTAAGCATAGTTTAAAAAAATGTGGGCTAGCCTAGTCTATATTAGTAATTGGCTTTAAATAGAAATAGAAATCTATGTCTCCATTTAGAAACTTATGTAAATGGGTATGTGTGTGTAAAAATGAATTTAACAGCAAAATAAAACGTAGTGAAGAACAAATATACAGTAATACAAGACTGAATCACAACTGTTTTATAGAATCATTTAAATATTTCATATTTCAGTGCAAGTAATCAACAAAATTATAAACTCTTGTTTTTGCACCCATTTTTCATGAGCTGAATTAAAAGATCTAAGACTTTTTCTATGTACACAAAAGGCCTTTTTCTCTTAAATATTGTTCATAAATCTTTCTAAACCTGTGAGCACTTCTCCTTTGCCGTGATAATCCATCCAGCTCACAGGTGTGGCATATCAAGATGCTGAATAGACAGCATGATTATTGCACAGGTGTGCCTTAGGCTGGTCATAATAAAAGGCCGAGCACTCTAAAATGTGGGGAGCGTATGGCATTGTGTGGGTGAGCAGTTTTCTGATGTCGGCGTTGTGAATCAAGTGGCCTATGGTGGCAGTGGGGTTATGGTATGGCCAGGTATACTGTATATTATGGACAACGAACACAGGTGAATTGTATTGATGGCATTTTGAATGCACAGAGATACCGTGACGAGATCCTGAGGCGCATTGTTGTGCCATTCATCCACGACCATCACCAAGTTGCAACATGATAATGCACTGCCCCATGTTGCAAGGATCTTTACACAATTCCTGGAAGCTGAAAACATCCCAGTTCTTGCATGGCCAGCATACACCGGACATATCACCCATTGAGCACCGATCATGTCAAACAAATGGGGGCAAAAACAAAACTGTTTATAATTTTGTTCAGTGTAAGTTTTGCATTTGCAGAATGATGATGCATTACCTAAAGTGTTTTGAAGAGAATTAGCACAAATTGTAAAATTAATATGGACCCCAATACGCCTTATTCACGGCAGTGCCATCTTTGATTTTTAATGAGAATGAAAGCGAGGCTGTGAGGGATAGATAAGCATCTCTTCAATGGGCTGTACTGTTATTTAACGTGTTTTCGGATTGTTCTGCTTATGAAACACTGGAAAAATATCTTTCCAAGACATTTCAGTTGACAAAAAACTCCCGACAATGTAAGCTGTGGAAAATTGTAAGTAATCTAGGAGCTTTATTCAGCTTTTTACAGCGGATGCCATTGGAAACACGGTAAGTCTATCCCTCACAGCCTCAGTCGCTGCTCTGAATAAGGTCTATGGGGCAAGAAGACCCCCTGGCTAAACTTTTGCATGATGTATAAAAGACTTTAGATGTAATTTTTATTCATATACATAGGTATGTTGTCATTAAGTTAACACAAGTGAATATACAAGTGATGCTTTTTTTCAAGCATATATTATGTTTACACTTTTGTTACAGTACAAGTACACTGAAAAAAATTTAAGGACAATGGAAGTTATGGCATTGGACAGATTCATATTTGTAGGCCCTATGTTTAATCACACAACGCACACTGTTCTTGATAAGTGGAGACAAAATTAGACCAATTAACCTCAAAATTGTTTTGACTGACAAAATCTTTCAAATGTTGATGTAGAAGAAATCAAGAATAGCCTAGCTATTCATCAGATGTTTGAGATACAATTTTGTTCCATCTGTGATCAAGAGACAAAAATGAAGGTGGCGGCGTGTCATCTTACACTGTAAAAAGTTGGCGGCAGTGGCTCAGTGGTTCATGTAGGTTGTCTACAAACCTGTTGTCCATGAGCAAGACACCTAACCCCAGCTGCTCCCGACGAGCTGGATGGCGCCTTGTATGGCTGACACCGCCGTCGGTGTATGAATCAATGTGTGAATGGGTGAATGTGAGGCAATTTGTAAAGCACTTTGGTGGCCATTAGGTCTATGAAAGCGCTATATAAATGCAGTCCATTTACCATTTACCAAAAAGTGGTAACCTGCAATTGTGACGTTAAAGAGCTATTTCTGATCTTACAATTAAATTAATTGTGTTGATGTTACCAAATATAGGTTGATTCGGTAATAGTCAATAACATTTTGAATTTGAATAAAATCAATTCATTTATGTTACCACACTAAGCTCATTTGATTAAGGTGTCCGCGTTACAGTGTAATTATGCATTTAAGTACTGTACTGTGTAATAATAATTAACTAGCCTACATGTACCTATAGGGTTATGAATGGGGTTTGGTTTAGGGTTATGTAATTATGCACAATTTGTCATTATTATTACATTAATAACACGTGTAACAAGGACACTGTAAAATAAAATGTTACAGCACATTTTTAGGTAAACATTTTTTTCAGTGTACCTTGTATGTATGGTAACAAAAGTGTAAACATAATGCCGGTATAGGCCTATGCTTGAAAAGCATCACTTTGAGCAAAACGAGTTCAAGTTTGTAACATTAAAAATACTTTAAACAGAGATATTTTTATTATATTTTTATTATATTTATTTTTTTTTACATTGTTTTGTTGATGCTGCCTTTTTATTTTCAAAGACAGATGATGGTGACGAATACTACAAGCTTCAAAAAATAATTGAAGAAAAAAAAAGTAGAGGCATTATATTACAAGTCTTCTGAGGGCATGTGATAACTTTGTGTACGGAACAGACTGAAACATCTTTATTCATTGAAAATATTTCCCTGGGCAAAAGCTCTCAAAATTCACTTATAAATCACAGATTTTAAAATATGCCACGTGAAGATGCAGATGATGTATGCAGATGATTGAAAATGGGTTAGGGTTTGTATAAAGTAAAAACTTAGTATCACATATTTGATCCATAACTTAATTCAAGCATGATAGAAGTTATGACATGGGATATACATTCATATTTCCAGCCCCTTGCATGTAATCACACACACTGCACAATCTTCTTGATCAGTGGAGACATGTCTTGAGTTCTCAGAGCTTAAAAAAGTATTTTCCCCCTACAACAGACAAAGACGATGATACATACCAATAAGAGTAAAAATTGCAAAAGTTCGGTCTGTCTATACTGTATGTGTGTTCAGGGCTCTTAGATTAATCTGTAAAGAATTAATTATATAGAATTAAAGAATTAAGAGTTAATATACTTTTAAGTATATTTATATTAAGATTCATTAGATTCAGATATGATTTAGACTATATATACACACAAAGGATTATTACATTTACATTTACATTTAGCAGACATTTTTATCCAAAGCAACTTACAACTGAAGACTAAACCGAGTCATCGTGAAGAGGCAAAAACAATGCAAGAAGTGCTCAAAATACAAAGTTCAGTCATTGCACGGGGTAGCGCCAGATAAGCAAGGATTTAAAATAATTTTTTATTTAATTTATTTTTTTATTTATGTTGGAGGAGGAGGAGAGAAATGAGTTTTTAGTTGTCTTTTGAATGCTGACAGGAATTCTGCATTCCGGATGAGGGTGGGGAGATCATTCCACCAGCATGGTACCGTGAATGAGAATGTTCTGGAAAGTGATTTTGAATCTTTCTGTGATGGTACCACGAGCCGTCGCTCATTGACTGATCGTAGGCTTCTGCTAGCGATGTAGACTTGTAGTAATGAGTGGAAGTAGGAGGGAACTGATCCTGTGGTCAGTCTGTACCAAGTGTCAACGCCTTGAACTTGATGCGAGCAACTTGATGCAAAATTATGAGGACCACCTGTTCAATTTCTCATTAATGTATTTAGGGGTGTGGTCCTGGTCAATACAATCTCCTGAACTCCAAACTGAATGTCAGAATGGGAAAGAAAGGTGGTTTAAGCAATTTTGAGCGTGGCAAGTTTGTTGGTGCCAGACGGGCTGAGTATTTCACAATCTGCTCAGTTACTAGGATTTTCACGCACAACCATTTCTAGGGTTTACAAAGAATGGTCTGAAAAGGGAAAAACATCCAGTGTGCGGCAGTCCTGTGGCCGAAAATGCCTTGTTGATGCTAGAGGTCAGAGGAGAATGGGCCGACTGATTCAAGTTGATAGAAGAGCAATCTTTGACTGAAATAACCACTCGTTACAAACAAGGTATGCAGCAAAGCTTTTGTGAAGCCACAACACACACAACCTTAAGGCAGATTGGCTACAATAGCAGAAGACCCCACCGGGTACCACTCATCTCCGCTACAAATAGGAAAATGAGGCTACAATTTGTAAGAGCTCACCAAAATTGGACAGTTGAAGGCTGGAAAAATGTTGCCTGGTCTGATGAGTCTCGATTTCTCTTGAGACATTCAGATGATAGAGTCAGAATTTGGTGTAAACAGAATGAGAACATGGATTCATTATGCCTTGTTACCACTGTGCAGGCTGCTGGTGGTGGTGTAATGGTGTGGGGGATGTTTTCTTGGCACACTTTAGGCCCCTTAGTGCCAATTGGGCATCGTTTAAATACCCAGATCTCCAGATCTCAACCCAATAGAGCATCTTTGGGATGTGGTGGAACGGGAGCTTCATGCCCTGGATGTGCATCCCACAAATCTCCATCAACTGCAAGATGCTAATCTATCAATTTGGGCCAACAGCTCTAAAGAATGCTTCGGGGGAACGTCCCTCAGCGTAGCGGCTCTGAAGTATGAATGAAACCTAGCCAATCTACGATTGGTGTTGCGTCATGACAGAATGTGTGACAGCATACAATGGAAGCTATAAAAGGATGCCGGCACACATAAGATGTCAGCTTCTGTGAT